CAAAAAAGGTTGAAAAACACTGATCTAGAGCATTGTTTTGAGGGTAGAAGTTGAAACAATTTATGTCCAGGCTGCGAGGGGTCTCTAGATGTTTACACAACCCTCTTTTTGACTCATGTAGTAAGATGCCCGTGCAGTTTCAAGCTTCCTCTCTTCTTCCTCCTCCTCGTTTGGCAGGTTTGGCACCAAAGATTTCTGCGATGCCCAGTGCGACTTCCTGCACAAGGTGCATTTCCACTGTGTGGTGGAAGAGTGTGGCGCTCTTTTCAGCACCGTGGATGGAGCTGTGAAGCATGCCAAGTAAGTCCCGGGCATCGGCTGGTGTGTGTGTGTGCGTGTGTGCGTGTATGCGGAGATCCTTGAGTCTGGGAGTTTTCAAGCCAAAACCCCAGAGCTTTGCCCTCACCAAGAGATACCCTGGAGATTTGGATCACCCACACTTTGCCCGCTTTCAGAGATGCATATGAACTGGGCTCCCGCCCCAGGAGTTTTGGGCAGCCCCTTAAGTGGGAGGGGAAGGCGAGGGACCCTCAGTTGAATGTTACACTGTATGTCATAATGACATTTTTTTAAAAAATTGTGACGCTGCCCATTATCAGTCTTAGGAATTTGCCAGAAACTGCTAAGAGCCCCTGTTCAAAAATGAGCAGGAGACCACCAAGCGATGCCTAAATGGGGCGACTGAATGAGCTGCTCTAGCTGTCAGCATTTGTGGCTGATGGATCTCACGCTCTCTCTCCTCATCCCTCTCCGTAGCTTCCACTTCCGAACAGAGGGAGGCGCCGCGAAGGGAACCTCGGAACACGCCTTCCCGACTCCGGCTGAGAGCAAGACCTCCATCCCGCCTTCCTCTCCATCCGCCGCGTCCGCCATTCTGGCCACCGCCTCAGCCGCAGAGGGCCCTGCCGCCTGCCCGGCTAGTGTGCCGTCCGCTCCCACGCTCCTGGCCTGGAAACAGCTGGCTTCCACCATGTCTCAGCTGCCCGTCTCGGGGCCCGGGCTGGCCACGTCCCCGATAGCCACCACTTCCCTGGAGAATGCCAAGCCCCAGGTCAAGCCGGGCTTCCTGCAGTTCCAAGAGAAGTGAGTGGCTCTTTTGGACGGGTGGTGTGGGGTCAAGGGGAGGACCAAGGCAGGTCTTCTAGCAGCGGTGGCTCTTCAATCCCAAGGACCGGCCTATAGATTTCCACTGCTCTCCTCTCCTATGCCTTCTATGCATCCGCGCATCAGGCACTGGACCCAGCTGTTTCTCTTCCTCATCGGCCACTTCCAGACCTGGGGGCTGTTGACTCTTCATCTGAGGGCTGACGGACGGATGGCCAGGCTCCGCCCCTGTCTCTCTCTCGCGCTCTCTCTGCCAATTCCATTCCCTCTCCCCTCTCGGAGCTCTCAGGTTGCCTTGAGGCTGACCCTGACTCCCACACCTCCTTCTCTTCCTCCTCCGATTCGGCTGCTGGAGGGGGCGGTGGCCAAAAGGCCAGACCGCCATCCCCATTGGCCAAAAGGGCTCATTTTGGATCTCTCCTCCAGCGATCCTTGCCTGGCCACGGACTGCAAGTATGCCAACAAATTCCACTTCCACTGTCTCTTTGGGAACTGCAAGTACGTGTGCAAGACCTCGGGGAAGGCTGAGTCCCACTGCCTCGACCACATCAACCCCAACAACAACCTGGTGAATGTGCGTGATCAATTCGCTTATTACTCCCTGCAGTGTCTCTGCCCAAACCAGGTAAGTCCGACGGAAGGAGAGAATTGGGGTGGTGGTGGCTGGGATGCAGGAAGACCCCATAGGAAATTAGAAAAGGCTGGTCTCGACCAGGTAGATATAGTCCTCCACTTATAACAGTTCTAGCAACTGTTCAAAGGGTGGCTCAGTGGCTAAAGACACTGAGCTTGTCGATCAGAAAGTTCGGCCGTTCGGCGGTTCAAATCCCTAGCGCCGCGTTACTGAGTGAGCTCCCGTGACTTGTCCCAGCTTCTGCAGTTCGAAAGCACGTAAAAAATGCAAGTAGAAAAATAGGAACCACCTTTGGTGGGAAGGGAACAGCGTTCCGTGTGCCTTTGGGCATTGAGTCATGCCAGCCACATGACCATGGAGACGTCTTCAGACAGCGCTGGCTCTTTGGCTTTGCAACGGAGATGAGCACTGCCCCCTAGAGTCAGGAACAACTAGCACATATGCGCAAGGAGAACCTTTGGCCTGGAGACTGGGGGGGGTGATTATTCTCACGAAACTGACCCTCCCTCCTCTCCTGCCTGCAGCACTGTGAGTTCCGCATGCGGGGGCATTACCACTGCCTTCGCCCCGGCTGCTTCTTCGTGACCAACATCACCACCAAGCTGCCCTGGCACGTGAAGAAACACGAGAAGGCTGAGCGGAGAGCCGCCAATGGTTTCAAGTACTTCACCAAGCGGGAAGAATGCGGCAGGCTGGGTAAGCGGACGGGACGGTGGGGGACACACCAACGAGCCATCCCTTGCTCACTCACTCCCTTTCCTTCCGGGGAGGTTAAGCAGACAAACCAGGTTTTTTTTTTCAACTTGCCGTTTTATTCATTTGAATTTGTCCCTTTAATCAATGGCTCCTCCTTCCCCGATAAGCAGCTGGAGGTCAAATATTGAAATCCAGGGTTGTGATGCCCAACGAGGCAGTCCTTCCTTCTCCTGTAGTGGGCACAAACCGCTTCTTGGACCCTGCTGGCTGTCAGATCCTGAGGGGGGCAAACAGGAATAGAATATAATAGAATTAAGAATATAGAATAGAATAGAATTAAGAATATAGAATAGGATAAGAATAGAATAGAAATAGAGGAATAGAATAGAATAGAATAGAAATACAGGAATAGAATAGAGTAGAGTAGAATAGAATTAAGAAAATTAGAATAGAATAGAACAGAACAGAACATAATAGAATATGGAATAGGAATAGAATAGGAGAATACAAGAATAGAATAGAATGGAATAGAATAGAATAGAAATAGAGGAATAGAATAGGAGAATACAAGAATAGAATAGAATGGAATAGAATAGAATAGAAATAGAGGAATAGAATAGGAGAATACAAGAATAGAATAGAATAGAATAGAATAGAAATAGAGGAATAGAATAGAATTAAGAATATACAAAAGAATAGAATTAAGAAAATAGAATAAGAATAGAATAGAAATAGAAATAGAGGAATAAGAAAGAATAGAATAGAATTAAGAATATAGAAAAGAATAGAATTAGGAAAATAGAATAGAATAAGAATAGAATAGAAATAGAGGAATAGAATTAGAAATAGAGGAATAAGAAAGAATAGAATAGAATTAAGAATATAGAAAAGAATAGAATTAGGAAAATAGAATAGAATAAGAATAGAATAGAATAGAAATAGGAATAGAATAGAATTAAAAATAGAAATAGAGGACTAGGAAAGAATAGAATTAAGAATATAGAATAGAATAAGAAAAGAATAAGAATAGAACAGAACAGAACAGAAATAGAGGAATAGAATAGAATTAGAAATAGAGGAATAGGAAAGAATAGAATAGAATTAAGACTATAGAATAGAGTAAGAATAGAATAGAACAGAATAGAACAGAAATAGAGGAATAGAATAGAGTAGGGTAGAGTAGAATAGAATAGAGTAAAATAGAATTCAGATTAGAATAGAATAAAAGAGAATAGGACACACAAGGAATTTGTCTTTGTTGCAGAGACTCTCAGTGTACATAAGGAAAATAAAACACATTCATCAAGAATCAAAACAAACAGTTGGAGACTGCTCTGCCACCCCTTGCGTCCTTTTGTGCCCGTGTTTTCATGGCAAGGCTCACCTGGGACATCCCAGAATAGGAATATCGTCCCAGTATTCCCCCAGATGGCCCTGCCTTAGCCGTGAGCTTGTGCTGGCAGCGAGTTGCGGCCCTGCCTTTTCTGATGTCAACTCCCTGGTGAAGCTACGGCAGATCAAAGGGCCCAAAGTTACACGGAGGCAAGCGGGTGTGGCTGGCAGCTGCATTTGCCAGTAATAAAGGTGGGGCCAGCCTCTCCCCCCCTTTGCTCTCCGCTCCAGTTCCTCCAGCAGTTAAAGTAAGGGAGCCCCAGTGGCAGTGCCCAGATAGGTTGGCAGAGGCCAAAGAGCTGGTGTGGGAGCAGCCTGGCCTGGCTTGGCCTTCCCCAGCCATTCCTCAAAAGTTCAGCCTCCCTAGGGCTACAGCTGCTTGTGGGTCTGCGGAAGGGCACTTCCCCCCTTGGCTGCTCAGTTTCAGCTCCAGAAACCCAGGGTGGGGTGGGGTGGGTTTTAGTCATGACTCCCCCCTCGCCCCCCCTTGCAAGAGAAAAGGAGACGGCTCATCCAGGAGACGCTCAGACGGTTCCCCCAAATCTTCCTTTATCCCGCCACCTCTGAATACTGGATGCTCATCTCCCCAGGTGACGTCTCTGTGGTAAAGGGGCCGCATGTCAGCCCTGGCGAGCCTGGTTACAGGAAGGATGGGTGCCCTTTGCCTGCCTGGCACCCTTGCCCCCCCCCCGAACCCCACTCAAGGCTGTGAATGGGGCAAGGGGTACGCACGAAAGAAGATTCAAGAAGGCCAGGAGAGGGGGGTGGGGAAGAGCTACTCCATCTTGCATTTCCAAAAAGCAATTCGACATGGTTTGTTTTTTTTCTTTGAAAACATTTCACTTCTCATCCAAGAAGCTTCTTCCGTTCTGGAGAAAAACCAAACCAAGTGACTGAGTATCTCCGTAGGCTCCATTTTGTCATCCGTCAAGCATTTAGCCCCGGGGTGATAGATAGCAAGGCACAGCTGTAACCGGGGCAACAGGCAACAAAGCCCTGGGCTGCCCCTTCCCTGGCTGCCGGCTCAGGAACGCCAAGAGGCTTGAGGGTTGGCTGCCATCTGGCACATCGCCAGGCCACGCAAAACCAGCCGATGATACCCGACACTCGGTTGCCCCAGTCTGCCGTCAGTCATCTCGGACGAACCCCCAGCAGAGCAGGAAGGATGGGGGAGGGGGAAGGGTTAAGAGGGAGGCAGCATTGTGTGCAGGGAGGGGGGGGAGAAGGAGAGGATCTCCAGAAATGCCAACTGGGCAATGCCCTTCTAGTGGCAAAGCTCGGTTTGCAGGCTGGCTTGTAAACAGACTTACGGTAGAGCATGGCATGAGATCGGTCGAAGAGCCCGTGGCTTCTGCATCAATTAATTCACTCCATTGCCCCTCAAATACATCCGAGTCCATCTATAAGTGGGGGTGGAAAACCACCACACCGTCTTTCCCCTGGTAGGTTACATTTCAGCGCAGCTCTGGCTTTGAGGTGGGCTTCAGAGCTTGCCGTGGGGCGGGAAGAGGGGGGGGCGGGGAGGACACGGACGGCTGGTGCCTGTTTTTTAACCTCCGCTGCTTTTTAATTGATGGCTTTATTATGCCGCTTCTGACGAGATGTATATGGATTTTGGATTTTATTTGTGTTTTCATTGTATGTCATGCTGAGAGAGTATTTGCTATAAGGCAACTAATAAATCTCTGGAAATAATTAAATAAAAGTTATAGCAGGCAGCATCCAAGGGGGCCTCCCTCTCTCTCTCTCCCCCTCTCCTCTCTCCCCCTCTCTCTCCTCTCCCTCCCTGTCTGTCTCCCTCTCTCTGTCTCTCTCTGTGTGTCTCTCTGTCTCTCTCTGTGTCTGTGTGTCTCTCTGTTTCTCTCTCTCTCGCATGTGGGAAAACAAGGGATGCCACTTTTAAGACGGCCCCTGGCATCGGTAATTTTCATAAATTTAAAACGGCTTTCCAATTAAGCCCTTTAAAAACTGATCAGTTTTAATTTGTTCAACCTGCCAATTAATAAATTAAGTGCAGGCGGCTTTGACTTACGTCGTTCAGTAAGTCATTTGGGTTATCTCAGAAATGTCCCTCTTGGTCCCCCCTGTCGACCTTCGCAACATCCTCTGCAAAGGAGACAGGCAGCTTCGGGGGCTGGGGGGGGGGGCAGTTGCTCAGCCTGGGCCTAATCTAGGGCTGGATCCCGTCTATCTTCCTTGCTTGTTCCACTTGTGGGGAGGGGAGGTTCCCACCCCACTCCAGGGGAAGGATACTGCAAACTCCCCATTCCCTCCCCACTCCAGGGGAAGGATACTGCAAACTCCCCATTCCCTCCCCACTCCAGGGGAAAGTTATTGCAAAATCCCCATTTCCTCCTGATCAACTAGGACTCAGGAGACAGAGAATAGATGGGGGCGGGGCCAGCCAGAGGTGGCCTTTGTCAGTTCTCCGAACTACTCAAAATTTCCGCTACTGATTCTCCAGAACTGGTCAAAACCTGCTGAATACCATCTCTGCCCCCATCGCTATGGGTCAGAGGCCCTGCTAAGAGAGAGCCTCCCTTTCTTGATCATCTATGGGGAGCTGCTCCGGAGTTCTTATCCTCCTGGGCTCGGACCAAGAGCGGCGTCTGGCCCGTCCCTGGGGCACATGTGCTGCTGACTCCAAGTACGGTTGGTTGCCGGCTTGCGTGGATGTGCGACTCTTTTTACCTTCCCTTCCAGGCTGCAAATACAACCAGGTCAACAGCCACTTCCATTGCATCCGCGAGGGCTGCCAGTTCTCCTTTTTGCTGAAGCACCAGATGACGTCCCACGCCAGGAAGCACATGAGAAGGATGCTGGGGAAGAACTTCGACCGCGTTCCCACTCAGGTGACTCCCCTGGAGGATCACTTCCCCCCCCCCCCCTTTTCGGCTTCACTGTTTTCAGGGACAGCAGTTGGGAACGCGGGAAGCAGGAAAACCTCAGCTGGGGGTTATCCATCTCCAGCTTCCCCCCGCCCCTGCCCCCCACCAGCAGCTACCCCCCAAATTGCTCTCTACGCATCCTGACCCGCGTCGAGGGGGTGGGGTGGACAGGAGCAGCTTCCCACAAAGCAGTGAAATCCCCCCCCCCAAAAAACCCCATCTGAAGTGGCTTCCGGAGGGCAGCGGACACGAGGGGCCGAAGTGTCCCTCCCCAAAATTTCCCACCCCTGGACCCAAACATGAGTTTCGTGTTTTAACGAGAAAAAATTCAATTAGAGCTCAAGAAATTAAATGCGGCTTAATGGGATTACCACCCGCCCAACCCCAGTGCGCTTACTGATTTTTCCCTTGTGGGATGTTCACAGTCACAATTCCTCAGCGGTTTCTCACAGGCCTACGGAGGGGCAAAAACACGCACACTACCCACCCCAAATTTCAGCAGCGCAACGCAGCTCTCGGGCTTCGGGCTAAAGCTCAGGATTGCCACCGCGTCCTCGGCTTCCTTCCTGCATGGAAAGGGCTGCTTTGCAGTGTAAGGTGTTGTGTCTTCTATGACACAGACAAACACAGACACACACACACACACACACAGACTATGCAGGGCAGGAGGTTAGGATCAGTGGTGAAATTCAATTTTTTTTACCACCAGTTCTGCAGGCGTGGCTTGGTGGCAGGGGAAGGATGGTGCAAAATCTCCATTCCCACCCCGCTCTGGGGCCAGCCAGAGGTGGAATTTGCCGGTTCTTTGAACTACTCAAAATTTCCTCGGCCGGTTCTCCAGAACCAGGAAGAACCTGCTGGATTTCATCTCTAGTTAGGATCCACCTAACTAGGGGGCTGGGGGAGGATACCTGCAGTTCCAGGCAACTGTGCCCCCCCCCCACCTTTGCTTTCAGGAAGAGGGGCAGAAAGCAGCCAGGCTTCCCCCAAAGTCACCCCTGCCCCCTCCGTTGTCTTGCTGCAGGTGGTGGGCCACCCTGCTAGGAGTGACAGCCACCCACAAGTGAGCAGCCTGGCCCCCAGCCCGGCTTCATCAGGGAATCCTGCCTCCTTTCAGGGAGCCCCCAGCCTGATGGACCCCGAGGGGGAGGAGTACCTGGATTACGCGGGATGCAGCCCCGGCGCCATCTCCTCGGAGTCGTCGAACATGGACCGCAGCTGCTCCAGCACCCCGGTGGGCAACGAGAGCACCTCGGCGGGTGAGTGTCCTAACCACCCACACACGCCCAGCTCCGGCCTGGGACTCTGCGAGAGGCTGTGCCCTCTGGGTCAGCCGGTCGTCTTTTTTTTTTTTTCAAACGTGGAGGGCTCCGAGTGGCCTCCCACGTGGACTCTCTCAATGTGGGATTTGTGGAAGAGCTTAGCGGGTCAACGGTGTCTCTGAGGGCTCTGGAAAGCTGAGCCGGGACCCAAAGACACTGCCAGGGACAGGAAGTCAATGCCTTTGACTGGAGATCCCCGTTGCATTGATTAACGGTCACTTCCAATGAATCCCTTGCAAAAGAGGCCTACGGTCCAGAGTTGAAGGGCCTGATCGGCTGGGAGGCGGCCGGAGTGTCCGTCAGCATCCCTCCACCCCACCCAGGGAATGCCGTGGGCCTCCCCGGACGAGCCAGGCCCAAGAAGCAGCTGGTCCTTCCCTGACTTCCGTTTGACCATTCACACACAAACACACACCCCTCATCTCCCTGGCAGACCTGCTGCCCGCCTGCCCCGGTTGGGATGGTCCGGATGCCCTCGTGGAGACCCCCCTCCCTCTGCTGCTGCTGCTGCTCATCACCCCTTTCCATCTTCTCCTCTGGTTCTGTCGTCGTACCTGTGAATGTGTCCTCCATTTTTCATCGTGTGGCTTAACACTTCTCGGGGGATCTTATTTTTGGTTCTGTCTCCTTTTTTTTTCTTCTTCTGGTGGTTGTTTTGTTTTTCTTTTCCTGCTATTTTTTTTCTTTCTTTCCACATTTCTCCAGGCTGCCTGGCTGCTCTTCCTCCTCCTCCTCCTCCTGCCGCTGCTGGTGACGATGTTAGCCACAATGCACCTCCTCCTCCACCACCACCACCACCACCATCTCTGCCTCCTTCTTTCTCACAAGCCCTGCTCAGATCTCCCCTCCCCTCCCTGCCCTACCTCTTCTCCCCATCGTGTGTCTCATATTCTCTGCTAAGTGCCACCCTGGGATCCAGCAGGGGCATTGCCTTGCCCACCGCCAGCTCGACAGGGCTCGCGCCCATCCTGGCCAGCCCAGTCAAAAGCGACGTCCCGCTAGTGCAGGATGCAGCAGGTAATTCGATCTCCGCTTTCTCGTAACACTACCCCGACACCCCCCCCCCCTCAGCCGCCGATAAGACACGGGGCTCTGAAAATGACCAGCCTGTCTGCGCACTTCCAGACTGGCAGGGGCCTTTCGGCTGTCTTCTGGACCAGTCCTGGCTTCCTGGCATCGCCAGGCTGGACCCAGCTGACGCCCAGCCATCTAACAAGGGCATTTTTTCCCTTTGGACGTCCCCAGCCCTCGCGTCAAACTCCAGGCCCTTTTCCTCTCCCGGCGTTAGATGATCAACGGCCGCGAGGTCAGAACGGTTCCCATACGCGGACTTTAGAAGCGACAGAAGCACGATGGGAAAAATCTCTTTCATTCTCCT